AGGGTTTGGGGTGCTGGCTCTGGCCGGGCAGTACTTACCTCAGAGCAGGGAGCCTGCCTTAGCCCTGCTGTGCCGTCGGACTTTTAGCGGCCTAAAATCTCCTGGTTTGGCTTCAGTAGCCTCCGGGAAATAAAGCCCAATTCCGGGAGACTTCTGGAGAAACCGAGAGGGTTGGCAACCCTAGCCTAACCCCGTGGGTGTTGTTTGGTATCCTCCTGCATCTGTAGGGGAGAGAAGAGCATTCAAGTGCAGCAGGCTCTTAGCAGAGAAGGCCTTCTCAGGATTTAGTGTTGCCAACTCTCACAATTCTATTATCTCTCACAATATTTGGTGTTTTTCTTAAAGCCACACTCCTGGCACATGTGACTAGGCAAGGAGATCAGCCTTCTCTTTAAAAAAAAAAAAAAAAAAGAAAAGAAAAGAAAAAAAAGGAAGTCATTGTTGCAAAGAAAAGCCTGAAAACCTGAACCCTTGAGTTTCAAAAACCAGTCCAAAAAGCAAATTATACACACCCACCCAGACATGATTTTTTTTAGCAGACTCAGTGATTTCTGTATGGTTGGGGTTGGCAATAGTGAGACTGTGACTTTTCCATTCTAAATCATTTTCAGTTACTGCCTGGGGCAACAGACAATTCTTCAAGTATTTGTGCCCTATATTGTTTGAGTTTAAACAGTGGCCTAACATAACACTCTTTGCACTAAAGGCAACCAGTTCAGATAGCAGAATCATGCTCCTGTTTTCTGCAACAGATGCAATAAATGATGTGCCAAATAAAGCACATGACATTAAATCTAGCCTTAGGGGATTTGAAAGTATGGGTCACCATGACGGCGTCTAAGAGCTAAAGAAAGCTTGCAACTTCTGAATATTTCAGAGACTGGGGGACTGGGAAAACCACATTTGACAATTGCTGAAACTTGTATTTCCATGTTCAATGTGCAATTAAAAATTGATCTCCACTGCAATGCAAACCCAGTTAACTGGCTTTGTGAGGGTGGGAGGGACATGTCAATTAACAGTAAGTGATGCCAATTAGGAGGCTAATTCCTCCAGTTGTCTCCTCACCATGACAAGTTACCCTATGTTATCTGGGCTGAAATGCAGCAGGTCTGACAGAGAGAAATGTTTTAAGCACTGTACTTTTTCCCCCTCTTGAAATTCCAGCAGAAATGAGTAGTAATACAGGGGCGATGATTAATTTAAAATTTAATTTATTGTCAGACAACTAATTAAAAGGAAATATTTTAGTTGCTGACTATATCTAGGCCCCTAAAATGTAACTAGTGTTTGGAATAATTCCAGGTGGTTTCATTTCTGTTTAAAATTGCAAATTATTTCTATCCTATGTCAGGTTTTGAAATAATGTTTTTGAAAGGTTATGCCTGCACTGAACTTTTTTCTTTATTCAAACATGCTAGGTAAGAGATGTAGTGCTGGATTTACAGGCAATCACATGGGTGCCTGAATGTGGCTCCTCCCTTCCCCCATCTATTTAAATAATGGAAGCAAAAAATCTAAGAAAATTTAGTCAGTTCAAGAGATTTATATTTTATCTAAAACCTGTAGCATATTTAGTCCCTCCCTTCCAATACAATGTGCAGGGGTGCAGGTTCATACATTGTAAAAATTTACTTCACATCACAGAGAACCCTACACCATTCCCTTCTATCTCGATAATTCTCTCACCTCATTGGTCTGTCTGAAAGCATTGGAGAAAAGTTTTGAATGCTGCATTGCTCTTTACAGAAACATTTGCTTTTACCACTTTAGCTCAGTCTGAGAGATCACATTGAAGTATAGATGGTAAAACAGTTATCCACTATTTGTGGAAAACAAATCTTTTAGACCTGGATATTCTGCAGGGTTTCATGCATATTCATGCAGGATTTCATGGATATTCTGCAGTTTTGCAAAAACTGTGTGTAAATTTTCCAGTTTTGACATAAAAATTGAAAACCACCAACATTTTTAGGTACACAACTGACAGAACATTCAAGATTACCAAAATTGAAAGACTGCCCAAATTGTTGGTGACAAGAAACATCACTGATAGAATTTTTGCAATTTGAAAAGGCCAGATGGAAAATCATTTTTTTTCAGTTTTGCCATTCTGGGATACATGGTGCATGCATTCTAAACCAAGCAAGTTAAATGAGAGCTCTCAGAACTAATAACAGGAGAAATGGCCAAGGGTTTTCTATTCTGATGTACGGCGATGTGCATCAGAGCCAACTGTACATGGTACGTAATGTCTTTTGTAGGCTTTGAAATAGTTCACTGCTGTTGGCAAATTGCATTTAAGGAACCCGAGTGTTGCCATAACTGAACAGAATAATTGTCTGCCTACTTGGGTACCCTGCCTCCAGAAGTAGACTGTGCTTGAAGTTTATGGGGAAGGCAAAAACACTTCAGTGAGGGGGGAAATAGATCCATTCACAAAACCTTTCATCATCAACCTGAACTAACTTCCCAGCAGAGTGTACAGCTTTATATTACACTTGCCTATATATCTATTTGGAATTCTTTTTTAAATCACATTAAATTGATTCAATTTGCTGTAACAACAAATTCCACATATTTGTTACATGCTGCATAAAGTTTTATCATCTCTTGTATCCTGGAGAGTGGATGCTGAAGACCAACCTGTCTGTTATCTAAACCCATCAGCATTTCACTCGTCTGTATTAAGTTGTTTCTCTCTCCCTCCCTTGAAGATAAATAGTTGAAGTGTGATGAGGCTTCACAATTGCCTGGTAATTTGATGCATCTTCCATATGGGATGACAGTTGAGATGCTTTTTGAACATACCAGTACACAAGTTGCCCTAAGGGCCTTTTTATTAACTCGGATAACTCATCCGCTGAAAATTTAAGACATTTCAAGTTGGATACCCAAAATTACTCATCACTTTTGAAAATCTTAGCCACGTTTATAACAATGTTACAGCCTGGCACTATTCACTGAATGATGTGAATGGCTTTCATTTGGAAGATGATGACCTCCTGAGGTCTCTTCCAACACTAGTATTCAATGATTCTATGATTCTGTGATTCTATAAAGATGGCAAGTCATGCCATACGACATTGTGCTGTATAATCCCATCAAGGCTAAGCTACATCATTTTTGAATTGGTGAATCTCTGAGGAACCCCCATGTACTGCAGGAAGTGATTTTGCTGGCTTAGAAGATGGTATTTTTCATTTAGAGTAATGAGCCAATGGCCCAATGTGACGAGGGGTAGAACTGATCAAAATTTTTTATTCAAAACTTTTTTAGATGAAAAACTGACTTTTTCATATTTTTCTCCTATGGGAGGGAAAAAAACCCCTTCCTTACACTCTTTTCCTTTCCTTTTCTTTCCCTTTACAATGGCAAAATGAAAAAAGGAGGAAAACAATGGGGGAGGGGAACCTAAAAATTGTGGGATTTACAGTCTTTGTATCAAAATTGGAAAAACTTCTTTGCAAAAACTATCCTGAAAAGGAAATTTTTCCAGTGAAACATCCTTACAACTTTTTGATCAGCTCAGGTGTTGGGACAGTATGCTGCTGGAGATAGTGTTTTTGGGATGAGAAATAAAATGAAAATCCCAACCACTTGTTGTTATTAAACTCCCCCCCCCCCCCCCCCAAAAAAAAAAAGTTAGGGTTGTGAGTCCCTGTGTTTTAGCCAAATTCCAATATGGGTAATTCTATACTGCCTGCCTAAAGTCATTGTTAGACACAGTGTCCTGTACCTCCTGTCCTAAAATACTGTGTAGTGTTCTCCATACTGCTGAGTAATTGCTCTGTTTTCACAGTAAGTGGTGGATGAAATGATCTTTTATATATGTTTGTACATGTCTTGGGAGTCCTTTGGGATCACTTTAATAAATCTTTGAGCAACCAGAGTGTAATATACAAAAACCAAGCCAGACTGATGAAAAAGTGCTATATTGTATAAATTTATTATTTATATGCAAGTCTGTGCGCTTTCTGGTTCTATATATATTTGCCTTTTTAAAAAAAAAAAACAATGAAAGTTTATAGTCTGTGAATCTCACAGTTCTCCTCAGTGGACTTTGTGAGTATTCGACCAATTTTAGCAGTTCACAAAGAAATGTATTTAAACTCTTCTGTAAACATGGTTTGAGGGAGCAGCTTTAAGGTTTGCAGATAAGTAGCTGCCAAATGACTCAGGGTCAAATTATTTACTTGGATGCATTCATATTGCTCCTGTTCCAGTCCACAGAAGCTTTCACGTGTCCCAAAAGGTAGCATGTTTCCCATGCACCCACCTCCCAATCCCCTCTGCATTACAAATAGCAAATTACAAAGTTAGAAGTCTCTTTCCCCCTCTACTTTTGCAGCCTCCCTTATGCCAACTGCTCATGCCCCCCAAGGGCTACGATGGGAGCCAGAAATCACCAACTTTGGTCTGGGCTTCTTGCCGACTGTGCCAGAGAGCAGGCAGGGGGTCTGATGTAGAAGCTGGCGTAGCAGCTGTAAGCTACATGAATTCCTCCGCACAGAGGGAATCTTCAGATGGCTGGTTAAGCTAGAATTAGGGCTGCTTTGCATCGCAGGAGTCCAGCAATACTGCTGTAAGAGACTGATGGGTGGGTCTCTCTCTCTCTAATTTTAACTTTTATTTACTCTTTTGTAAAAATAAAACATTACATAGAATTAAAACAGGTACAAAAATAATTATTCACCTCAAAAATATAACATTCCAATAATATATGTAGAACAGTCAAGCCACTCAAAGTTGATGTACAATTCTCATATAGAGATAATTGGTTTAAAGTTTTATGGTGTTTATAAATAACACATGTTGAAGACTTATATTTATAGAACGGTATGTTGCTGTCTTCATATATTTTTATTTTTTCTCCAGTATAAGGGACAATAATTGACTATATCCTGGATCACCATGAACTCAGTCTGCTCTCAACATAAGAAAAAACTTACATGGAATCGAGAACATTCTACGTATTGTATTTCCATTTCATCTTTCAGATTTCTAACTTATTCGTACCTCCTGGCGTTCAATTCCTGGCTTCTGCTAGCACCAATTACTCTGTGCTATGACTGGCAGGTTGGGAGTATTCCTTTAATTGAGTCGATATGGGATGTGAGGAATTTAGCTACAGTTCTCCTGGTGGTGGTGATGATATTACTCAGCTTACATTGCATAACAGCATTCAAGGTAATTTTTAAAAAGTACACTAAAATCTTGTAGTTTATATGTTATTTTTGTTACCTAATCGTTGAGGAAATCACCAATAAAAACAATTGAAGTTGTTTTTTTTTTTTTCCAAACAATAGACAGTAAGAGGAAAACTACTTCCCTATAACTCTCACAGGCAAATCCAAAAGGCTAAATGCTGCCATTGAATGTATGCATGCTGCTCCCATTTGTTTGGTCTGAGACCAGAATTTAGCCAAAAGTGCTTTATTAAATTACTGTTAATCACCCAAAGCCCACTGAAGTCAACTGAAAAACTCTCCTTGATTTCCATGAGCTTTGCTCATGACCCAAGGGCCCAATTCAATTGCCATTAGTCAATGGGAGCTTTGCCATTGGCTTCAGGTGTCTGTCACTAGCATTTGAGGATTAAGTTTATATTTTTATCTATATCTCTAAACCAAATAAAACATATATATGAGACACAATAAGGAGGACAAAATTGAGTGTAATAAGTTGAAAATGACCTGGAAATCATTATTTAGCATAAATGACATGTTGTTTAAATACAAGCTGGTCCAATAAAAGATATTATCTCACCACTGTCTCTCTAATATCCTGGGACAACATGACCACAACCACACTGTGGACAATGTTATTTAAATCCACTTTCACAGATCAGTATTGCAGATACATGTTGCACTGCAGATGTGTAAATGAGATTATACTGGATTTGCGTGGGACAGAGATGAAATATATGTCTAAAATAAGAGGCGTCCCCAGTAATAAGGGATAGTTGCAACTGGTGAAGTCATCTCTTTTGATAAAAGTGAGAAGAAATAATTACCTAGTGGTTTGTTGATCATTTTTAAAAGAGTTCCTTCCTTAAGTGTACAGATAATTATGCTGAAAAACCATTATATGGTAACAGACAGCTCTTGAATTATGCTAAAAAGTGCAGGTCCTGCTCATACTGCTTGCACGCCCAGAGTTCTACATGTGCTCTTGATAGGAGGATAAAAATGACAAAGATTTTTGGACCGTTGAGTCCTTAATTTGGATTCTTTAAAATGTCAACTGATGCCATAGGGAAAACATGGGAAATCAGTCTATTTAGGCATGCTGTAGTTCTGCCTACAGGTCATATGTCTTCTGTATTTATCTTGCTTTTATTTTTTATTGCTAGCTACTTTGATGTAAAATCAGAATCTTTGGAGAGGATTTTCAAAAGGGCTTCGCTTTGATCTAACTCTGCTCCAACTGAAGGCAATAATAAAATTTCCCATTTGCTCAACACTGAGCAGTTCTGAAATCACACCCTTTATTCCTTGATGTTTCTCTAGATTCTTATCTTTTACCAGTTGTCAAAATTAGGGTTGTGTGCAATGCAGGGATTTCATTTCCTAGGAATGTGCTTGTTTGCTACTTTGAGCCTTGTGTAGTTGGTTCCCCTCCTCCCCGCCTGAACCCCCATTTTTCCTTGGAGATCCTGGTTCAACTGAACAACAAAACACAAAGTAAAATGCATCCCAAACTATCTGGTTTCATGTCCAACCCCTGTTAAACCATAAATGTCAGCGTTTTGACATGGAACGAGGTTTACCAGCCTTATAGCAAACCTGCTCTGAACTTGGAGTTAGTAACGAATCCTGGATTAAGGGGTACTACATGTGAATTTGTTTTATTGTGACAGCTTAGTCATAATTAGAGAGGGCTGAAATATTCTGAATTTCAGTAAGAAAAAAGGATTTTTTGATAAACAGTTTTCCCATTTTTTTTTTTACTAGCTTTTGCAATAATTTGCATCATTACCTGCTGTGGAGAGGATTATGATGTCCCAAGCAGTAAGAGTTAAGGTGGGGAACAAACACTAAGAGCAGATGAATTTTGTAGAAACAAATTATCCTGTTTTCATGTGTATGTTACTATTTATAAAGTCAGGGAGGGGGAAAAGGAGTACAGAGAACATGACATGCAGGCACAATTTCTTTTTATTAGACTCTTAAAAAAAATCGCATTTCTAAATGAGAAATCAGTGACTTTTTAAGATGACGGAACTCACGTGTACAGGCAAAGACCATCGTTCTACCAGACAAATGGCAGGCAGTCTTGGCTAGTTTGCTTGTGCTATTTGGCATGAGGCATATCAAGTTATTTCACATTGAATCAAATCTTCTGCTTTCTTTTTGAAATAGTTCCATGAATTCACATTTTAATTATCTGTTCACCTTTCTCCTCTTCCAATAACACAGTATAACCTGGAAGTGATAGTTCACAATTTTGCTAAGGAATGGGTTTAACATTAATAAGGCAAGTATTATATATATGTCTATTAATCTCTAGAAAGACAAGGTGGGTGAGGTAATGTGTTTTATTAGATCAACTCTGTTGGTGAAAAATACAAGCTTTCAAGCTTACACAGAGCTCTTCTTCAGGTCTCTGTGTATGCTCAGAAGCTTGTCTTTTGCACCAACAGAATTTGGTCCAATAAAAGATAGTACCTCACCCTCGTTGTCTCTCTAATATCTTGGGACCAACATGGCTACAACAATGATGCAAGCTGCTATTCTCTATCACATGTGCAAACACACACGTGCTCTGGTTGCCAGTAGCATTTTCTGTTCTGTGGTACTAAGAATAGGAGATCCTGCATGCCAATGACTGTGGCAAAATCAAAGATATCAGCACAGTAAATGTTGAATTGTTTTCCAGCGGGGAGGGAAAGGGGTGCATGCCCATGTGGCATGCGCACACAGAGAATTATAGAATATATTACATGGACTGTAATTACAGAATGCATGTGTTGGATTGATGGCTTTGTTGCCACTAAATTTTAAACAGGACTAATTTGTTGTTTATGCTTGTGATTAGGGTAATCACATTGTTGGAATGTATGTGCAGTACTGATAAAGGACATCTAAGCCATGAAGGTTGATTGTTCCATTTAATTTTATGAATGCTCTATATTTATACCCCAGAAAGAACATAGACTGATAGCTCTGAGGTTTCTTCTCACTAGTTTTGCATATGCTATGCTTGGAACAGAGCCACATATTTCATTGGAGAGAGTTTTACACTGAAAACTGCATGAATTGGAAACGCAGCTGTCCAGTTTTCGATTGTTTAGTAGAATGAGTGTCACTGCTTCTTTCTCTTTCCCTTTGCTCCTGTTGGTTTCAACTTTGCTACTCTTCTTGTGTAACAAGGAAATGCATCAGTAAACTCTATTGCCTAATAATCTGTTTAGGAGCCTTGATTAAATGGGTTCACAAAAGGTCTCCTGTTTTCTGCGCATCTGTAACCTACTGGTGACTTTGTTACAGGTCACCCTCTGTGACACATTGACCATAGTTCCTCTTTCTGGAAAACATGCTGTCTAGGTCTCCAAGGACAGAAAGAACTGCACCACCACCTGAATAAGACTTGCCATTCTGTTTATACCCTTTATATCTGCAGGCTCATTTTTCAGCTGCCACAATCTGTCCCATTACACTCAGCTGCCAATGACTGTAGCAAATAATGCCTGATGGGGTTTAATAGGCTTGTCTCCTGTAGTACTTCTGGATTCCCCTGTACTGTGAGTGAAGAAAGACTCCGCTACAATCGCAGGCCAAGGTTTTCAGTAGTGACCAGTGATTTGGGGTTCATCTGTTTGGGAGTGCCCAGTTTGAGACTGCTTAATGAGGCCTCGTTTTCAGAAGGGAGGTGGTTAACTTTTTCTGAAAATCTGGCTCCTTTCAGGTGTCTCAAACTGGACACCTCGAATTGCTAGTCACTATTGAAAGTCTTGGCCTCAAACTCCAGTCGCCAATGTGAAAGTGTCCTGAGTGGCTGTTAGAGAGAAGAACTTTCCATAAACAACCAGATCAATTAAGAAAGGTATTGAAACTGATTGAGGTCTGTGTGTATGGGGGAGGGGGGGAGAGGCAGAGGGGAAGGCTAGAAAGGCAGAAACCCTATTGTTAACCCCAACATTTTATATAAAACTTAATGAAAAGAGACGGGGCAGGAATAGAACATTGTAAACCCAACCTTAGCGATGAAGAAAGGAGCTGCTATATTTTCTAGATTTAGGGGTAGGTGAATTACAAGACAGTCACTGACAATAAAGATCCAGTTTTAAATTCTGGCTACCAACTAAGTAAGTCAAAGCATCTACTGTCCCTCTGATGCTAGAAATGGTCAGTAGTACAAGCAACTACTTATAGTTCCTGGCTTTCCATGCAGAAGGGAACTGTACCTGCTGAGACAGTGGGGAGAAAGGAGGCCTGGCATACTGTCAGGCCAATAGCTTTTTCATTGGTGTATCACAATTATTCAGGGAGCATGAAAGGAATACCATTTAAATGGTTGCTCTGCCACTCTCCTTGGCATTTTTAGGCCATTGCTTTATTAGTAATATGATTCAATTGCAACTTGTCCTCTACTTGTAGCTGTAAAATTTACAGAGCATACAATGGGTCAGATTCCATGCTCCTTATGCTTAGGCCCAATCCTAGACTTTATTCAGGCTATGTTGGTGTTGGGGAAGAACTGGGTAGGTGTGGGCGGGGTGTCATTCACAAAATCAATGTGGACAGGAGAATCATAAAACTGAGGATACCATACCTGAAAGAGTTGGAGGTCATTTTAGGGTGAATTTAATGTGCCTTGTCACTGACTTTATTCCTTCTGCCTTACCACTGAATTCTCCTTGGCCTTTGTACTCATGACCAGTATTGCCAAAGCACCTTATGGCAGTTTCTGCCTCAAACAAGCATTAAGTGTTATGAATATTAGCTAAAGGGTATTCCCCTTTTTTTGTGCCTTGCTGGGAAGGAAGCATTATTTATGTTTTTAAAACCTAAACATCTCTCATGGTCTATGTGTTGCTTTTAGAGTATTTGCCTTGCTGCTATATGTAATGTAGCTACATATGGTGCAGGAGGGTTTGGTGCTTTTCAGATTATAGACACTATAGGCAATTAAAGCAAAGTATTATTATCAAACCATTTTATTATATATAGTTGTCCATTGGCTTT